CCACCTAAGGAATCTATCCTTTTAAGGAGCTCCTGAGCTTGACTAAGGGTTTCTAAAAGAATATCTTTGGGTTTACTAACCAAAATAGGATTTGAAAGTTCGATTACATATGGGAAAAGTTATAACACCCCCACATACCCATATAAACGATGGTACTATTATATTTTAAATTTATCCTAGGGTCTTGATACTAATGGTTTCAAATTTTATATTAAATATTGGAAATAATTCATAAGATTCTTCCATCAATCTGATAGAATTTTTAAAAATATTTTTTCACCTCAAGAGTATTCAAGAATCCCATTTGTTTTCTTGAAAAGGCTCCGTCATTGAAAAAAAGGTTTAATTATTTTTTTTGTTAAAAATATATCTAATTATTCCACTATTTGGGTTAAATTAAAAATATTTTCTCTTTTGAAATTTCTAAATTTTTCACTATTTGGGCCTATTTAGAAATTCTCTTTATTTATTTATTTTTTTTTTGGATTTCTAAATTTTTCACCATTTGGGTCAATTTAGAAATATTTTCTCTTTTGGAATTTCTAAAAAATCCACCATTTGGGCCTATTTAGAAATTCTCTTTTTTTATTTTTTTTTTTGAAAGAAAATAATAAGACAATTACTTTTCTTGAAATTTCATTTAAATTCTTCCACAATTTGGGATAAATTTAAAGAAATTTCTCACCTTGAAATTTCTTAAAAAATTTATCATTTGAAATTTCTAAGAATCTCATTATTGGATAATTATCAAATATTTTCAATCAAAATTTTTTATTTTTTTATTTGAAAATAAATATTAATTATTGTTATTGAAACTTTATCTAAATTATACCACCATTTGGGACAAATTTAGAGAAAATTTCTCACTTAGGAACTTTATCGAAATTTACCATTTGAAATTTCTAAAAATTTCATCATTGGATAATTAATATTTATTCTCAAAAAATTATTTTATTTTTTCATATTTTTGTTATTATTTTTTTCTAAAATTTAATCGTGTAAAAATACTAAAAAAATAAATAAAATAAAATAAAAATAAAAAATACCCAAAACAAGAAGTGGCTTGTGAAGTGGCTTGGCTTGGTTGGAACTCAAGGTTAGGACGTGGGTCAAAAAACAGGTTAGCGCTCAGGTCAAATCACCCATTTGCAAAATGCGCGGATCTTGGGGATTTATTAAGCTCCAAAACGACATCATTTTGGGGATGATATAAAAGATCGAACTTAGTCCTTTTTCCTCAAATTTTCCTTTCCCTCTCTCTTTCCTCTTTTCTTTTCTTTCCCCTTTTTCTCTAACCTAATTGAACTCCAGTTGAATATCAATCGAATTCTGAGAAATGCTACTAGAATCTGGGTTGGTTTGTTGGATGGTCATCAAAAAATTCATCCTTCACTGAAATCTTCACCGGATTCTAGAAAACCTTGTCAAAAAATTCAACCAAAGTTAAAAAAGTCACCAAAAAATTCAACCGGTGCAAAAAAATTTCATCGGAATATGAAATTTTTCAAAAAATTTTTCAAAAATTTTTTTTTAACCCAAAAATTTTCCTACGAATTTCTAAATGCCTTTGTGAGTGTTTTTTTGCTCTAATTTCTATACTTTGCCTTCTGGGTGTTTTCTGCCTAATCCGTTACTGTGTGTTTCTATACGTGGGAGCATCTATTTATAGAGTTTTGATCTAAAGAACCCTATACCCAAATAGAATTCTATTCTTTTTTAATTTCAACTTCAGTCTTTAAATCCAATTTAAACTCTTTACACATAGTCTTGCAAAAACTCAACCTGCTAGAGTTTTTTTTTGTTTTTTCCATTTATTATTTATTTAATCAACAGAAACTAGATTAAATAGAACCTTGGACAAATTAGGGTGTCTATAAGGAGACATATGCTTCAATAGCCAAACTCAATTCAATTAAAGTTCTATTGTCACTAATAGCTAACTTAGATTGGCCTTTCCACTAACTTGATATTAAGAATACATTCTTAAATGGTGACTTTGAGGAGGATGTCTACATGAAAATTCTTCTTGGTTTTGAAAGGCAAGACAACATAGGCAAAGTGTGCAAAATTCAAAAATATTTGTATGGACTTAAACAGTCACCTCGAGCTTGGTTTGAACGGTTAACCAAGGCAATGGAAAGGTATAGATTCCTTCAATATCAATTTGACCATATTATATTTGTTAAGTTCACTAATTAAGGAAAAAGAGTTATTCTTATTGTTTACATGGATGATATCATGATCACCATAGATCATAAGGAAATAATAGATGATTTGAAGAAACGCATAACAAAAAAGTTTGAAATAAAAGACTCAGGGTTCCTTAAATTTTTTTAAAATGGAAGTGGCTTGGTCTAAGAATGAAATTTCAATGTCTCAGTGTAAGTATCTACTTGATCTACTCAAACAAACTGGCATGATTGGATGTAAACCTACGATACACCTATAAACTTAACTAATAAAATTAGAAGTGAAAATGGAAGCTTTCTAATGGATAAAGGACGATAACAAAGACTAGTTGGGAAGCTTATTTACTTATTCCACTATCAGGTTTGCAATAGGGATGGTGAGTAAATACATGAATAATCCAACCAAAGAGTATCTCAAAACTGTTCATCGCATCCTACAGTACTTAAAGAAAGGTCTTATAAAGGTCTATATTTTAATAAATCAATGGACAAGGCAATTAAAGTGTACACAAATGCTAATTAGGCTAAATCAGTAACAAATAGAAGGTCCATTATTAGATATTACACTTATGTTTAGGGCAATTTGGTCACTTAAAGAAGTAAAAAGTGAGTTGTTGTAGCTAAGAGCAGTGTTGAGGCTGAGTTTAGAGCAATGTCTTATAGTATTTGTGAAGGAATTTGGCTGGTAAGTTTAATTGAAGAATTAGAAGTTTAGACTGTGACATTTATGACACTATTTTGTGACAATAAGGCTACTATAAGTATTGCCAAAAATCTTGTTTATCATGATAAGACCAAGTACATAGAGCTGAACCAACATTTCATAAAGGAAAAGATAAAAAATTGGTTAGTCAAACTGGCCTATATCCTTACAAGTTCACAAATTGTAGATATTCTTACTAAAGCTCTTCCTAGAAGCATTTTTGACGAATTGAAATCCAAGCTGAATATGATTAACATTCATAACCCAGCTTGAAGGGGAGTATAGAAATTAGATTCTCCTACATTAGTGCAGATCTTATTCTCCTATATTAATACAGCTTTATCTCCTAATTTATTTTAGGAATATTTCTCATTTACTCTTTTGATTTAGTCAACTATTCTGATTGTCGAGTTTTTAGGGATTTTTTTCTATTTTAGAATAGAATAATCCTTTCTTTTATTATTTTTTGTTTTCAGTTTCATGTAAGTTATTTCCTAATAAGGAACTTCACTGTTCCTATTTATTTAGATGTACTCTTTCATTGTAGATAGAATAATAAGAAATAAGGACAATTATTCTTTAAGTTTTCTAAACAAATATTCCTTCCTTAGACAAGATAAAATTGTCCCCTTCAAATACTAACTTGAAAACATACTTGTTAAACAAGGTAGTAGACACTAGGTTTTTTCTTACTTTCGAGACATAAAAAACATTTGTAATTGTTATTGTTTTATCGGAAGTGAATTCTAAATTAATTATCCCTTTGCCTTTGATTTTAATTGTTGAAGAACTCCCCATGTATAGCACATCACCTTCTTTTTTCTCTTGAAAAGTTTTGAACATGGCCATGTTGGTGCATATATGTTTCATGGCATTGGAATCAATTCATCATGCCTCTTTGTCTTTAATGAAATTAATTTTAGAATTGATAGTAACAATTCTAACCTTAGTTGTTTTTAATGCATCATTCTTCTTCTTAATTAATTGACAATCTTTCCTAAAATGTCCTTATTTTTCACCCAAAAAAAATGCATCTAGGCCTTGTATTTTAAAATACAATACAATAAAATGATAAATAAAAAAGATACAAAGGTAATACGATTTAAAATTTTAGCAATAACTATATAAGAGTTGAATAAAAGAAAAAAAAAGTTTATTTTATATTTTTATGTCAATTCGAATTGTAACACATAATTTTCGTATAAAATACAATATGAATATATAAGAATATACGAATCCTCAAGATTGCATCTTTCTTCTTCTTGAACTTCTTTGCATTAGGAGAAAGTTCCATTTTCTTTATGGACTTGCTTGGCTTGACATCTTCTATCACATGGACCTTGGAAGAACCACCTTTTTTCTTTTTTCATTTTCCTTGCAATATTGCTCTTCAATGCGAAGATGACTTGCAAACTGTTAAAAATAACATCTTCCTTTTTATGAAATAGCATCAAAATCATGCCGCTTGTGCACCAAGAATCCTCATGCTTTTCATCTGAATTCCTGCCAGGCAAAGCATCGCATGCTCTTTCAAGTTCTTTAAATGCTAAAGAAATATGGCATTCTAGCTTGTTCAAAATTTCCACAGGAGAAGTTCTTTTCAGCTACTTCATTAGATATAAGTCCTATTTTATCCATCTTAAATACAAATTTTCAAAATCTATTCTGATTATCGATAGAACAAGTTTATGGCCTATTCTTTCAGGGTTGGTAATGCATTCAAGGTTTTTTTTTTTTTTTAATCTTTTATTTGGTAAATGAAATCATTAATTTTAACAACATTTATCCAAAAACAAACACTTTTAAATTTGAATCAAACAATTGATTAGAAAGCAGACATTTATGTTTAGATTAATATACTGGTTAGGCTCTGCTCTTTATACACTTGTAAAGTACTAATATGAAGAGAATCATTCTACCTTTTGTCAAATGGAAGATTAAGCATCTGGCCCCAAAGACTGTGGTGGGAGTATCATTCCTTATCCATGTGATCTTGGAAACTTACAAGTTTTAAGTTTGCTCCCGAAAACCGAATCAAGTTTATGATGGACATGGTTGCTTTTCTGCTATTTATTGTTAATTTCTTACCATGTCTTCCCCTTGAGCAGCTTGTTTCGAATGCCACGCTGGAGGAGCCACCTATGTTTGTTCCTTTGCATCCTTTTGTTGGTATGTATGCGCTAGATACTTTCCGTAATTCATATGCTGAGACTATATTTTGGATACAGCAGATAGTTCACCTTCATCATATAAATGAAATCGGACTTTTGCCTATGTCTAGATTAAGATTAGGTTATGAAAGCATTGTAAAACTAGTTAAACATTGCATCATAAAATTTTCTGCCATTAAGATATCTATCATATTTCTGTCACTTCCATTTAAATCCTATTTCCTCCGGATTCCAAAACAGGAGTGGATCCACCCTTTTACCTAGGGAATTCATGGATACCCCCAAATTTTGAAAAATAAGAAAATTTGAAGAAAAAATTTTCACTACACACCCCCAAAATTTTCCATGACACCCCAAAGATTGAAAATTAAGAAAATTTGAAGGAAAATTTTGGATATCTCAAAATTTTCTCATGGACACTCTTTTTATCTATAAAATTAATAAATTTGTCGGCAGATTTTTTATATATATTATAAGTGCACACTCACCAAAAAAAAAAAAAAAATCTCTCATCTGCCTCTATTCCAGAACCTGGAAGTTTCTTATTTTCTAAAGGTGTTTAATGAACTTGTAATGCTTCATATAGTGGACTGTAAGGACAACATTAAGAATGTTCATGACACTGTCAAGTGCTTGGGCAACATAATTGCTGGTAGAGGTAGGTCACAACAACTGCGAAAAGAAAAGTGCATTTTGCTTAGGGGATGGTGTCTTGAAAATGGGATAGGTCATATATATTTAAAAGCTGCTTTTTTGCTAGTAGTTTTTTAAGCGGATGTTTGAATCAGTTAAACATACTTCACATACTCATGTCAAGATTTGGAATATTAACTTCTTCTCTTGTGTCTAATTTGATTGCATCAACACAGACCTTAACGAACAAGAAGTAAAACAAATTGACTCTGATGCATCTCCACCAGAACGAGTTCAGCAGGCAATGAATTGCCTTCCTTTAACCTTAGGGAAGTCACTTGATGATTTAAAACCCAACTGCTTCCGACGCTGGACAATAGCGGATTATTCAAGAGCCTACAGTTCTGGAGAAATAACTCCACGGAAGGTATCATCCCTGACTGTTTAGTTTAAGGCATATTGCCAACTTCCCATTTATATGTGAAATTACATTTTCACCTGAACAATGATTTTTGAGACTTTATAGCTAGTTTGCAGCCATACATTGTAGTTTACCATTGTCATGGAAATCAATTTTCCATTGTAAAGGTTGGAGAGCTGTTTATAGATGCTGTGCGTGAATCTTCCAGTCTTCCTTTGCCTATGTCCTTGTTCATTAACTATGATGCTGAAGATATCCTAAGGCAAGCTACAGAGTCAACTCTTCGGTATGAAAGAGGTAACTTTTTCAGTGTAATTAAATCATTATTTACATATCCTAATGTGCATTTTATTGAGACAGTACTCTTGTCGCCATTCTCCTGAATCATAAGCACATAAGCATTCTCCACGATGTTCCATTTCCTAAATCCTAGGAGAAGATCAAAGTGAAAAACAAGTTAACAGTTGATTTCCGAAGTTAGCAAAAGTGACTTCCATTTTAAACATGGAATCTTTTTCATTTATAATATCCCTTTGTCAATACCGTCTAGACATTCATATCGATCTCATTGTTTTCTTATCCAGGGGATCCAATATCTGCTTTAGATGGAGTCCCAATTGCTATCAAGGATGAAATAGATTGTTCTCCATATCCAACTACAGGTCCCCCTAAGTTCTCCACTTGCCATGTGTTTTACGCACATAATTTTCTTTTCTTAATGGTATTCTTTGTCCCCTATCTTACTCTTGATTCTTCTAGGAGGTACAAAGTGGCTGCACAAGTTTAGACCTTGCACAGGTGATGCATGCTGTGTTTTGCGACTTAGATCCTGTGGTGCAATAATTGTTGGAAAGACTAATATGCATGAGCTTGGAGCTGGAACAAGTGGGATAAATCCTCACTATGGGTTAGAATTTGCCATGGTCTTTCCCATTCCTAATACCAAAAATGCCATATTTAAATACAGTGATATTTTGCAAGAATTTATTTTTTCCATTTTATCCATATAAAGTCTTAATTATGAATTAATCTATAGGATACCAACTTCATTAAATTTAACACTTTCCTTTATCTTAAGTTCTTTCCATTCAAACACATTAAAGATGGTGGTATGCTCATTTTGTGAATGCTGCAGGACTGCTAGAAATCCCTATGATCCCAACAAAATCGCTGGTGGTTCCTCTAGTGGATCTGCTGCAGTAGTATCTGCAGGATTATGCCCCGTTGCCCTTGGTGTAGACGGGGGAGGTATAGATTTTGTCATCCTTCACTGAGAAAACCAAAAACTGTTGTTGACAAAATTAAGTACAATGATTCTGACTAAATCATACTTAGCAGTAGGATAACTCATTTAGTGGAGAATAATACTCTGATATTATACATAGTTGTCAAGAAGCTGTATGGTAGGTCCTTCATCTGTGAATTGTAAATAGCTCATTTAGGAGATTTTTGGAAGACTTGCTTATTTCTTTTGATTCTGTTGGAAAAAGTAAATGGAATTCTTAGTCATATTTTCAAGTAATACTATTGAGCTTGAGACTTGTGGACTTCATCAATATTACTGGGAGTAACAATTCTTTCATTCCTATATTGAGAAGATTTGCACAAACACTTTTATTTATCACCCTCTATGGAATTGTTTGTTCCTTAACAATTCAAAAGAAGAAAGAAAAACTATGCTGGCTTAATCTTTAAAACATTGTACAATGTGAATAAGTTTAAAGGACCAATGTACTTCATCTACGGCTTTTGTATAGGATCCGTGCGGATGCCTGCATCCCTTTGTGGTGTTGTGGGGTTCAAACCGACTTTTGGGCGCATACCTCATTCAGGGTGAGAACTCATTTAGGTAAAATAATTCTATAAGTTTCATTAGATGTAAAATTTAGACAATATCTGAAAATGGATATGCTGTTTCCAGTGTTCTTCCTCTAAACTGGACTGTTGGGATGGTTGGAATAGTAGCAGGCACCTTGGAGGATGCATTTATTGTGTAAGTATTCTCTCCCTTCTTTTCATCAAAGCACTTTCATATGTCACTTTGTTAGTTTTAGATATGACTCAGATTAGTTTTCCATTTTCAGTTATGCTGCGATTAATGGCCAACTTCCATCACATGAGCCAACCACTTTACCTGTGAGTACTAGTTCTATAAGATCACTAATATTTATTGTTCTTTTATATGCAGATGATGATCTCCCTTCTAAGAGAAAGCTGATTTGGGTATCAATTTCTGTACCAAACCAGTTTCTCATACAAGCACATTTTCCCTTTTTTAATTCTTTCTGATTTTTTGACACTGAGAGTAAATAAAACTCAGAACTGAAAACTGGAAGTATAGGTTTGAGGTCTGAGAAAGTAGAAACAAGGCATTTTGGCTAGTACCTTTTTGACAACAAATGAAGAAACTATCATAAAATGACTGAAGGATGACCAGCTTTAGATCATCTTTTGTTGATTTATTTATTTTGTTTCGAGACTAAAAGTAGCAATAAGTTGGCTCGGTTACTATTAATGGCCTTGCTATGTCTTCTCTTCACTGCTGAACCCTAGAGTATTTTTATCAGACAATCTAAGTTTGGACAACTTTGCCATTTTTTTTTTTTTTTTGGCATATGGATAACCTACAGCCCAAAGTACATTTTCCACTGCTGAACTCAACAAATCCAATATCAAACATCAAGCTAGCAAAATATGGAGAGGTTAGTGATGTAATTATGATCAGTTAATTTAAGTCCAGTTTTATAATCATTTGTAGCTTAAAAGGATGAGATTTCTAATTCCTGTCCTTCACCACTAATTTGCTTAATTAGTGGTTCAATGATTGCTGCGACGAAATCAGAATATGCTGCTCCAATGCTCTGCAATTGCTTTGTGAGCGTTACAAGTGGAAGGTAATGGCAACGAATTAATGTTCTTCTTAAGCAATAACTACCCATGTTTTGATATATACTTTGTTGTATATAGACTACTTTGGAGCAATCAACTTCCCATTTGGTAGAACCTAATCGGATGATAAACCTTCTGAGAAAAAAAAGCATTGGTATAAAATACAATAAATTCAATGGTACAAGAATGATAGTAATGTTATCTTAAAATAGCATATGTAACAAAACACTAGTGATTGCTCACTAATCTTCAAAGGTATACTATTCACAAGACTGTAGAGGTTACCATACCAGAGATAGAATCGATGCGCCTGGCACATTATCTGACGATTGGTTCCGAATGCACCACTTCGCTGAGTTCTTATCTGGAAAAGCTGTATGTTGTCTTCCAGACTTCAACCACCATATTATCCTCTCATGTTCATTTTGTCCGGGATTTAAAAATCCAGGGGCTGACAATATAAACTTGTTGAAAATAGCGATTATGCAGAATTAGGATGGGATGCAAGAGTAGCACTTAGGGTATATGGTGCTTTCCACAGCAAAGAGTACATAAAGGCCCAGAAAATGAGGTAAGCAGTAGCCAATATTTACTTATTAATTAATTTTCTGTAAGTTGTCACTTGTGAAAATAGAAACCATTTCAAGAAGTAAAAAGTGAATGTCAACTAAGTAATTTCTGATGTCTATTTAGATTAGTAGTCAATACTCTGTAGGCATGCTTTAAATTAGAAGATGCACACAGGTTATTTGTTATGATTTTAGATTCTACAAACTTGCTGTTATAATGTGGCTTGACTACACATTTGCAGGAACCGACAGATGCAGATTCATAGCAGTATATTTGCCAAGGCAGATGTCATTGTTTCTCCGACAACGGGGTAGGTTCTATTTTACTACAACAGCTTGCATCTGTTTTAGTGAAAATAGTAAATCTTTTTCTCCAATGCTCTGAATAAGATTGTCTATCGCACCTTTAGTCTTTTACTTTAACTTCCATCTCCAAGACCTAGTCTTACAATGTCCAAGTTTAATGAGTTTCCTTCAAAACAGTGTGACTGCATACCAGATATTTGATGATGCTGTAAAGACTGGTGAACTTGATTACATAAATGGAGGTATGAATTTTTTACTTATATTTCAGTATGTATTTATTTTTGAATCTTCATGATTTTTCAGTCCAAGCAGTTAGTAAAGGGGAGGTGTTGCATAATGGAATTTGACCATTTTGTCAATATTTCAGCTGCCCTTGTTCGATATCAGATAGCAGGAAACTTTTTGGGACTACCTGCAGTGACGGTTCCTGTACAAACTTGTTACTACTTCTCATCTTTATAATCTTATGTTGCTATTCAGTTGCTATTAGCTACATTCAAACAGTACAATTCTACTACCATCAATTATCCTCGTTTCCTTGATAGGTTGGCTATGACAAGGCAGGTTTACCAATTGGCCTTCAATTTATAGGAAAGCCATGGTCAGAACCCACATTAATGCACATAGCATTTGCAATGCAGGTAGGCCACTTGCTTCTCTGAATGTAGTTGCTTTTTGTTTCTTCCATCATATGAGTTGGCAATTTTAAATATAATAGGATGATATAATATAAATATAACATGAAAAAAGATATAAAATTAATATAATTTAAAAATTTGGCAAGAACTATATACGGATTCAATAAAAATAAAAAATATATTTCATTTTTGGTGTATCAATGTAAATTTAATATAAAATTTTTTACAATTTACTCGTATTTAATATAAAATAAATATGATATGAATACACAAATTATCAAGTCTCGTATCTTCACTCCCCTTTATCGATCCTCTCTTATTCTGGCATCTACTTTGAATTCAAATTTTTTTTTAAAAAAAGACCAATAATTTGACTGCCTATACTTGTATTTCTAATTCCCTCAGATTTTTCACTCACAAGAATCTATACATATTTTAAAGTCAATTACATATAAAATTATTAAAATGTCATTGTTCTTGTTTCATAGAAATTTAACATGTAGCATTTTATTTGAAAATTATTATAATATCTTTATTAAATTACTTATTAAATTTTAACATAGTATAAAATTAATTATATATTAAATTATTTAGATATCCTTACTATTCTTTCATTAAAATTTGATATTTGGTATTTTTGTCTAAAATTATTATAATACTTCTATTAAAATACATATTAAAATTTAACATAATATAAAATTAACTACATATTAAATTACTAAAATACTCTTACCAATGTTTCATGAAAATTTGACATGTGGTATTTTTTGAAAATTATTATAAAACCCCTATGAAATAACATATTAAATTAATTACATAAAACTTAATTATATATTAAATTAATATAATACCCTTATCATTTGCTTCATAGAAACTTGACACATTACATTTATTTTTTGAAACAAGTCTATTATCTATAATCTATTTATAATTATATAAAAGTTAATTACATATTAAGTTACTATAATAATCTATTTATTTGTCATTTTCTTTTATTATCATTAAAAGAAAATAAACCATATGACAGATATATTGTTGACACATGTCATTTTAAGCCAATTAAATGCATTATTTTTGTTAGTTAAGGGTAATATAAATATTTTAGGGTTTATTAGATAAGGGTTAATTGGTGAAATTAGTGAACAAAAAGTGAATAAGAAATTTTAGAGGAAATGAAGAATTGAGGTCAATGGAAAGAGACAGAAAAAAAGGATGAGATAGACAAGGACTCAAAATCCTTGACTCATGCAGCAGCGGAATGAAGCTACAAATGAGGGGAAAAATAGAAATATATATATATATAAGGGAAAATAAAGGACTTGGCATGGGTTTGCGACTTAGCACAGTAGAAGGTTTAATACCTGAGATTTGGGAGTGAGTATTTTTTACCCATATGTTGTTTAATCCTCACACATCTATCATAAAACAAATATATTCAAATTATTTTCTTACAAGTTGAAGCTTTTGCTCTCTTTCTCAAATCCTTTTTCTTTATAAATTTCAATTGTTTTAATAAACGAGCAATATAACAAGATCGTGATACCAAAAGTTGTAATAAATAGATGTAATTATTTTTATTATATAATTATTTATTTAGTATGAAATTATATAGATCCTAAAGTGAAGTTTGGCATTCTTTCCTAGTATATAATAAATTGGACTAATTTGAGTTTTTATAGTCAAGGCATTATTGAATTGATAGTATTCAACAGCATAGAAAATTTTGGCCGATTCAAGGTATAAAATGTAGAATTTGGAAATTCTCTTTTTTGAGGATGATATTTGCCTTTTGAAGGCATCATATACTTGGTAATACGAATAATTGGAAACAAGTATTGTTGCATCCAAATGTGAAAAAGTTTCAACTGTAAGCAGTTTCCATTTGTTGGTAAGTAACTTAAACATTATGGCTGATATGAAAAAAACATTTTTGGTTTCAGGCCTTGTGCATCTCAGACTATAGAAAGCCAAAGATTTTCTATAATCTACTTCATAAGAATTGAGCAGGCCGTGGGATGATAATCAGCCACCAAGATTATTGCATTCAGCATATATAGCTTCTTCTACTTCTCTTGATGAAATGGCTTTGTACAACTGACTTACCATGGTGCATAGCAATACACAGTATTGCTTAATTTATTTACGAGTTGCCATTGTTGAGATGGATATCTCAAAAATCGTTGGCATCTGAAAGTGTGTATCAGGTAATTCATATCAATAAACAGACTGATTCAGATGCTTGTTTTATGCCTATAACTGGATCCAATTCTCGTGTTAAAAGTAGCGTGATTGTGGACTTGGGGTAGCCAGAGTTCATGTGGAACTTGCTGATGCATTTTAAATTAATAATATTACTAGATGCATTGACTCAAATGTTTTTATTTTGCCATCTCTATCCCTTTTTTTTTTTTGTTATCGTTAAATTTGCTTAATTAAAAAAATTAAACAAAGGTAAAATATAAAACCAAATGAGAGTGACCCGTGAATATTTTAGTTGATTTCATTTTTTCATAAAATTTATCTATTAAAAAAATAAATCAAAAAATCAAAAGAGTGAAAAAGGAAAAACAAATAAAAATTGAAAAAAAGAGCTCGTAAAGTATGCGGACACTCATTGAACTTAAATTTGAATGTTTCTTAAATTAAGATATCAAATAATAAATTTATTAATATAATACATATATAAATATAAATTATATTAACAATAAAATATATATCTTTTTATATATTCTAAAATGAATGAGACATGCTTTCAACCTTATCTCCTTTCTTTTTAAAAAATGATCCATTTTCAAATTGATCATGATCTAAAAAAAAATACCTTCTATCAAATTGGGATGGATTAAAATCTGTTAAATATTGTTTGTTTTGACATTTGTATCAATTGACATATTTTATTTCAAAATTTATTTAATTAAAAAATATAAAAAATGTAAAATAAAAAAAAAGCTAAATAAGTACCATGTGAACACGTCCATTAAGCTTTTTTCACAAAATTAATTTAATTAAAAAACATAAAACAAAAAAGGAAAATGAAAAAAAAAATAAAAAAGAGAAAATGAAGCTCATTGGGCATTGTGTGAACATCTCAATTAAGCTTAAAATGTTAATCTTTTAAATTATGGTATCAAATAATAAATTTATTAATCAAAAAGAAAAAAGAAAAAAAACAAAAAGAAAAATAAACTAAAAAAGGAAAAAGGAGATCATTAGATGCCACTCAGACATTTTAATTGAATTTAAAATATTAATATCTTAAATTAAGGTATCAAATAATATTATTATTTATATAATCTATATAAATATAAAATTAATAAAATATACTTTTAGTTTTATATATACTATGAGGTGACCTGGAACAAAAGATCTTAAATTCATTATTGATTTATCCTCGCTTTCTTTAAAAAAATTGATCTAGCTTGATTAAAGACAAATCAAAATATATTAAATACTAATTATTTTGCCATCCATATCAATAATTTGATTTTATTATAAAATTTTTCTAATTAAAACAACACAAAAATAAAATCAAAAAAATGAAAGGAAATAAACCAATGAGTATACAATGTTCACACTTCTATTAATATTATTTTCTTATAAAATTTATCTAATTAAAAAAAATGAAGAAAAAGAAAAAAAAACAAAAAACCACCCTTTATCATATTGGATCCAATCAAAACCAATTAAATACAAATTATTTTGCCATCTCTATTTACCATCTTATTGTTATAAAAATTATCTAATTAAAAACAAAAAAAAAAAAACAAATTGAGGTGTCATATGAACATCTATATTAGTTTTTTTTTTCACAAAATTTATTTAAATTAAAAACTAAAAATTTAAAAGACTAAAAACAATTTAATAAAAAAAAAGAAAAAAAATGAGGAAAAAAAGCAAAAAAAAAAAAGGTGTCATGTTGATATTTTTATGAGAGTCAAATAAAAGTCAAATAAATAAATTTTATAAAATTGATGAATGGATAAATTATATCTTAATTATATATAAATATAATATTTTTATTAAATTAATATATTAAATAATAATTTTATTAATATAATACATATAATTTTAATTATATATCTATACTTATGACAAAATGAAACATCCTAAACTCACTTTCAACCTAACATTGATTTTCAAAAAAACCTTAATTCAGTTTCAAATTAAAAAAAAAAAGCACCAATTGGATCCAAACAAATTGAAACACATTAGGTACATATTATTTTGTCATCCATACCTTCATTGATATTTTTTGTATAAAATTTATTTATCACTTTCTTTTGTTGCAAAATTTATCTAATGAAAAAAAAAAAAAAAAAAAAAACCAAAAAGCCAAAAGGCAAAAAAATGAAATAGACCATCACATGTACATATATGGGTGTAAACAATCAAAGCTTTTAACGAACCATTTATGAATATTTTGGCTACTTTTCGTTCATATTTATTTATTAAACTTAATTAACAATCTTAAACAATATTTTTACGTTTATTTATTAAACGAACTAAACACAAATAAAAGCATGTTTTGTTCATTTATTTTCACGAATAAATTTGTTTAAGGTTCGTTTAAAACTTATTAGTTTAGAATTCATTTATTCTTAATTTTATAATTATATGTTTTATTTAAATTTATTTAATTATGATTTATTTATTATTTATGAATATATTTGTTTATTGTTTATAAACATGTTCTTTTATATATGTTCGTAAACTTATTTATTTAATATTCACAAAAGAATTCGCTTAACTTAAATAAGTCAAATGCAAATATTCTATTATTTAAATAAACCAAACTTAAATGTAATTAACAATTTTCTTACCAAACATGAATAACTCTAAAAATAAATTAATAAATCATGAATATATATCCGTTTGTTCATATTTAGTTCGTTTATATCTCTATATACACATCCGTTGGTTTTTTCAAAAAAAAATTATCTATTTAAAAAGAAGAAATAAAGGAAAAAACTAAAAAAAAAGAAATAGGAAAAAAAAAATAAAAAAAAAATGAAAGTGAAAATGAAAAAAGAAAAGAAAGTTGAATTGCCACTCGATATTAGTAATAATGAGCTTTCCTAGCAAAATTTACATCATGAATTTTAAAAAAAAAAAAACTATAAAAGGCAAAATAAAAAAGAACTAAAACTAAAAAAAGAAAAGGAAAAAAAAAAGAAAAAAAAATCTAAAACCTCATTATTTCGTTAATATCTTTTTCTTAAAAAATTATTTAATTACAAAAAATAAAAAAAGTTTTATCAATAATATCAAATGGATCTGAAAAAAAATAAAACAAATAAGCAAATGGTTGACAATTGGTATCCTCCTTGAGGTCCCAAATCAAAAATTTAAAATATAAAAAACGTTGATTAAATATAAATAAAAAAAAGTAAAAAAAATATTTCATGTGACACCTTAAAAGGTATCGGTACATGCACAGCATTTGTATATGGTAATATATGGTGCAATGATCGAAATGCTATCTGATTATATATCTTATTCCTTAATTTAATTTCTAGACATAATTAAAAGGTAGTATTGTTCATTCGGGTTAAATTTAAATCAATATGTAAGGCCCTGTTTGCATTCTGATTATGTTACATGATGGGGTCACTTTTGGTTTCAACCACCGGTCGATGCATTTTTATCGTGCTGCACCACTTTTGCCCATTAAAAGGGTAACTCTCTAGTGGATAACTAGTCTCATTTTACCCATAGGGCATTCGATTGCCCTCCGTTAAGACAGTCGATTATCCTTTTAAGAAGTGATGTGCACGGTTAAAAATAATCGTAAGGCATTAAACTGCCTTTTTATCAGATATTTGATTTCCCTCACTTCAAAGTCTAAAATATATTATGCGAAGAAAAATCTAAACTATTTTTATTTAATATTAGTACATATTAATAATACATATTATTAATATATAATAATATTAATTGTAAATTTACTCACTATCAACATTAGAGTAGTGATTAAGATATACATAACTTAACAAAATATATATAAATATTTTTAATTATTTATTAATTTTACAAATATTAAATATATACTATAAATTTTATTATATATAAATTTTAATTTAATATCTTTAATAATTTTTTTACTAAATCTTACTGTTAATATTGTATTTGCATAAAAAATAAATCTTATTTTTTATTTTAATATCATTATTATAATAATTAATTTCACCGTTATCATTATTTTTAATTTTATAAAAACAAATCTCATTATCTATCAAAATGTGAAACGATGAAATTTAGAAAGAAAACATTGACCAAAAAAATAAGGATTCAATTTTAGCCGTGGGTTTAATCTAGATGTAGTAAAGATTGAAAAAGAGCGTAAAACTCATTAGTTTTACATTGGTATAATACTTCCCATATATATATATATATATATATATATATATATATATTCAGGCCCTGGTTGAAGCTGTTACTCAAATCATGTTGCTGGCACGAGATTTATAAAATCCCAGAATTTAACTTGGTGTAAGTATGACTATAAATTTCCCACAATGCTTCACCTTGAAACCTATATAGTAAAGTGATCGCCATGAAATAAGACAGTCAAACGTCCATTCCATTTGTTCAAGAAACATGAAATCGTGGCTCAGACATTTGAATTGTTTCCAAGGATATGCTCCTCAAGTCATTAAGACTCAATCCATCCAGATATCCAAAGCTATTGTGTAAAATTTTACTCTGATTCATAAGACAGCCAAGTGATAAGCAGAGCTAAAAGTGCAATCAAATATTAAGTATGAAATTTAAAATTGCTGGGCAAGTAAAAACATGGAAAAGAATGATATGGTTGTACTACTTTTTCTTTCAATAATTTCTGTTCGTCCTGAGTACTCATGTATTTAGATAAACCTGTTGATTCACAAATTTTAAGTCAAATGATTTTGGTCTAAAAACAAATGACTGACAACAGATACTCAAACCTGTTTCCCACTCCTGCTTTGTGGGAAAATTTTCCCCAAACCAGTTCGACTTTTGTCAAAGGCAATAACTGGTTTAAATGTTAAAGTTGACTCCATAGCATTGCCATTCTCTGAATATTTAACATACTCGCCAACAATTTTAGAAGACTCAGAGCCTCTCTTTGAAAAATCCATATCAATAGAACCCAGTTTCAGTTGTTCCTCACCACTTTTTGGACACTGCAATCCTCCATCCGCAAGCTCCAGTGGCTTATCAGAGTCAATCAGGAAATCTTCCAGTGTAGCAAGAGATTTCAACTGCTGGCCGAGAGAAGCAATTGTCTTTTGGCATTCTGCAAGTTTACTGGCAGCGATTGCTAGCTCCTTGTCCTGCATATAACCGATAACATGTTTATAAGATTACAACTAATAAGTCAGACAGTTCTTATATAGAAGAAAAAAAATCCAATTTTACTCCATCCACACCCAAAATCTTGCCAAATGATGATGCCAATTGACAAAAAAAAAAAATAAAGCACTCTTGAACAATTGTTGTAGTAATAAAATGCACTCCTCATGAACCCTTTTATGGTCCACTATGACAGATCACAATTCCTATGTCACATCCATGTCAGTTTATTTTTCACCCTACAAAAACGGTCACTTGACGTTGTTACTCTCCAATACTCCAACAGCAATTTACATAATGTAATGTTGTTGTACATTTACAAAGGCATTTTCTCCTTAGGTATTGTGCTTTCCTTGTCATAATTCCCAGAAGTGTATTACACTCGCCAAATATAATCAGCAGAAATATAGTATAATTAGGATGTTCTGAAACAGGACTTAAATGAAAATATTTGACTGGCATTTTGAAATTAATATCCCTGATTCAATAGGAGAGAGCCAGTTTTGATATTTTTAACAAAGTTGGAAACCAAATAAAATGACTAGCCACAGAAAAATATAATAATAAAACAAATCCTTAGATAAGCATGTCTGTGGTTCTGTGAGAAGTTAAAAAGCACATTTTGCACGTGTAGGAATAGATTACAACAGCACATGGGTAATTAAGCTAAGACAGTACATAAATGCTTACTAAATTAAGGCAGTATAAAAGTTGCCACATGACAAATAGCAAAATTCAAGTAGGGTTTTCAAGACAAAACTTGCAGAATTTTAAACCTCCACAACGCCAAAGTCATTTTAAAGCATTCTATTGAGCATTCTGGATCAAACAGGATGCTAAAATCTGCATGCCATGCTCACTTAATACCTGTACTTCTAGATGGACCAACATTCTGCAAAGAAACTTGCCAACTTACAAAGTACACTGAAGTGATGCAATCATCATTTGTATTGACATTTGCAGATAGGTTTTGCTCCTTTGAAAATAGTATATTTCTCTATTTGATGCATTCTAAACAATTTATACAATTAAAATAACATAGTAAAGAACAGACCTGCTGCACCTTCAACTCTTCATTATAACTTGCCACATGCTGGAGCTCTGCCTCATGTTGGAGCTTGGCTTGACATTTCAAATTTGAAAGTTCATCCTCCAATTTTTTGCACTTGGTCATGTTTTCAGCAGATAATGCTTGTTCATTTTCAACCTCTTCTTCTAAGGAAGTAACTTTGGACATTAAAGTTTTTCTTTCAATTTCAGCATCTTTAAGTCTTGATTCCACCAGTTCTCTATTCATGTTTGCAACTTTTGCTTCTTCCTCTGCAACTTGTATTGAGTTGTCAGCAAGAGCTAATTGAGTTTGCACATCTACCAACTTTGTATCTGCGTCCCTTAGTTGATTCTGCAATGTTTTAAGCTGCTTTTGAGATTCAGTGAAAGCCATCTGCAATTCGAACTTTTTTTCTTCCGCCATTGCTAGCTTCTCCTCTAGTTCAGCAATCCGGTGGATAGAGGTTTCAAGATCAGCCTTTAATGGGTTTTCAACTGTACTGGTTTGATCAGATATGGGACCAGCCTCATTAAAACCACTTCCACTTTCTATATCAGGCAAAGCTGCAAGCCTTTCCATTTCAAGAAAATCATCCATGAGATTGATTTCTACTGATGGAGCCATGATGTTTCTTCCAAAAGCCTTCTCATTCCTAAATTGATCAAGTTCTGTAATTAGGGCAGATGCCCATGCATCTGAGCGGCTTGTCTCGCATTCATTCATCTCCAACCCAGTCATCTTGTGTGTATTAGTTTCAACTGCAAGTAGCCCCTCCCCACCTTCTGATTGGCTATCTGTAAAAGATTCAACACAAATTGAGGAGGCAGTGAAAGATTTCTGATCATTAGCAGAGGATGCTTTACGAGCAATGGCTTTTAGCCTGCAACACTCAGCTTCAAGCTTAGCCAACTTCTTTATGCTCTCCAAATGTTGTTTGCTGGCAGTTTCAGCTGCTTGGGTGCTCAGGTCCCTCTCAATAATCCTAAGTTCTAGCTCCTCAGCTCGAGAAAGGAGCTGTAGTTTAAGAGCTGAATTCTCTTTCTCAATTTCCTCAAGCTTTGGATGAAGATCAGGATCAGCTGAGGCAGTAGTCCCACTTTTTGTGGTTTTAAGTTGGGCCTTGAGACCCAGAAGCTGACTCTCAAGCTCTGACTTAGAAGATTCCCATTCATGACATTTCTTGGTAACAGTTTCATGGATTTTTTTCTCTTGCTCTTCCCTTGCTTGTCTAAGTTGTCTGACACATTCCTTGAGTGCCCCATCAAGATGACCAACTCTATCTTCAAGGGCTGCATTTTTCTTCATAGCAGCATCAAGCTGTTGCTTCAAAGCTAACACATCCTTTTCAGCTTTCTCCCAGCCTAATTTCAAATTTGAGAAAAAAAAAAAAAGCAAACAATTAATGTCACTGTTGCAGCAGATCTTCAGGACAAAAAGATCTAAACAACATAAAAAACCATAAGCTTCTAAGACCAAAATGCCACAAAAAATAAACTATTCCTCACTAGTTGACCACCAGTGTTGTCAAGGGTGCAAGGTGCACTGCCAAAAGCACTCACTGGAGTGAAGTAAGGTGCAAAAAGTATGTGTGTGGTTTGTACGTGTGTCTCTATACATATACATTTATATATATGTATATATATATACACACACACACACACACACACACACACACATATATATAATCAGCTTATGAAATATAACTGTGATAATAAACTCTAAAGAGTGGTCCAGTTTATCCTACCAAACATGCAAATTTTCTTATTCTTTTGTTGGCCAATATGCATGATTTACTTATGGTGCCATGTTTGTTGTTGAATACTCAAACATTGAGAAGTAGAGAGAATATTGTCCCCTTTTTTCACTATTAAAGGTACAATTAATGAAAAATAAAAAAAGAAATTAAAGAAAACTTTAATCAGGCAGGTATTTTTTGCATCTACTGCCTTTCAGATGTATATAAGTAAATCATAGGCAATGAAAACAAAGTATAAGGTCAAACGCTAATTGGTTAACCTTCTTTGTAAAAATAAATAGATAAATGATAGAAGCTGAACTTGCGGCCATTGTCTGCAACATCATTCATGTTGAGTCAATTTTTGTATTTCAAAAAAATGTAGTTCTTTCCAATAAAGAAATCAAAGCACAGTACTACAGTGATAAATATCCACCTACTCTTCAACAGTAAGGGAGATCACGATTGTCAAAAACCATGTTATTCACATCAAAATTTTAGAGCTTGGGCCGACCTTTACGTCATTTTTTCTCACTACAATTAATAAATGTTCATAAAAAGAAATCTACTTGTTGATTTCTATCTTAGGTTGTAAACCAAATAACAAAAAAAGATACCTGAGACAGCTTCTTCTGCAACTTTAGCATGCTGCTTTACTAAGTCTTCTTTCGCATTAATGTTCATAAGAGCAGCAGACAATTTCTCAGTTAGAGACTTCACATTATCATTAACTTCTTCATAAATGGGCACTGCTTTTGATGTGACTTCCAGTGATTGAGAAATATGAATTGCACTAGCCTTTGACAACAACAAAATATCAGATCATCTCCAACCAAATCAACAGAAACTAAAAACATCATTACTATTTACAAACATACAAAAGCAGCTTCACACCTGTATCATCATATGAGAAGATAATTATTGTAAGACAAGAACATAAAACCACCATCAAGGTACCTTTAGTATAGCTTATCTAGATCATAAAAAAAAAAAAAAAAAGTAATACAAAGACATAAACTACACATAACCTGCATGACATTTGAATTTATTGAAAAAATAAAAGATAAAAAATAAGGCAAAAACACTGACAGATGAGTACATGCCTGAATCATCCGGAGAGCACTTTCTGGCCCACCCCAATACATACCCCACAACCATCATTCATTTCCTTCATGAAGTTCAGAAGGAACTACACTCTGGTTGATCATTATTGTCTAATAAATAACACTCCTAAATAATAATCTATGGCTTGGAAAATTCCTAAAACAGCCTTCTAAGCCTTGCAAGGATCTGACAGAGTGGTCTATGATCCCTTTTCCTATGTGAAAGGTGATCACTGGCTCTTATGACTTCACAGATTATAACACAATTTTCTTTTACAAAGAAAGGACAAATAGACACTTCACGTGTACTAAACAGGGCTTTAAAATGCTTATCAAGAATTCCTGAATCATTTTAGAATGCCTAAACTGAGTCATTTCAGCTTCTCAAGCCTTCTAAATCTTCAATGACTTAGGGTTCATCAGTCTTTCTTACATTACTTTCTTACATTAATCACAACTGATATTCAGGTGGGAAAGAAACAGAAGGAGCAAGCTAAGTGTACAAACTTTGTATCCAAAACTAAATGTCCCCAGCATCAACTTACTTAGACCACATTGCTATCCAGATTTGTTTAGCCTTGTTATTTGATCATTTCTTGTTTCCAAAGGGCACCAAAAGCTTAAAAACAAATAAATGGACAGGTTCTCACATTAAAGCATTATCTGCGTCAGAATTCAAGAAGAATGATAAACGCAACAAATATGCAAAAAAAAATGACATAAAGGCCACAGCTAGAAACAAGCAAAGCATCCTTCTTTATAATTAATTTAGTGCATCTGCTCTGTTAAAATGATGACTAGATGATATTCAATGTAAATAAAATCACATCAGCTATCCTTATACATCCCTGATCTCCTAACACCCTTTTGCCTTCATGCATATGTCAACTTGAAGACAACGACAATTAAAAGTGCTGATTTTTGCAACCTTATTGCTCCAGTCTAGTTGTTCATAAAATATGTAAATGAGTCCAACTACACTCAGACAAGAGTGAAAATTTCTAGGCACATACTCTATAAAATCATAGACATGGTAAACGAGATATCATTAACAGAATCCAAGCAACAATACTGCAGAAATCATCTTAATAAAAGAAAAAAATACAATTAAAAAGAAAAAAAGAGAGATGAAAGGAGAGCTATCTGATTGCCTATGCACGAATATCCATAGCCAATTATCGATTTCATTAGAGTTTGAGAATGATAATTACTTTGAAGCAGGCAACCAACAGGACCATCCAGATTCCACAGAGGGTAGTAATCAATTTGAGTTACTTTTGGTTAAACTAGATTGGATATCATTCAATTTACAACAACAAAAATGACCCAAAATACATAGAAAGGGGATATTTTACAGCACAATTTAAGAATTCCTTTTGAAGAAAAGTAAAGACAACAAAATGTGGGATATTACATTTCCAAAGGAATGGACAATGATAATAAATAAATACCTGGTCATCGGCGAATCTTTCAGAATGAGATGAAATCGAACCTCCTGAACTATCAGTTTCACCTGGACTCTTCTCTGTAGACTTTCTTCTCCATAGCCAACTCCTCCTGTCCATCTTCAACTCCAACAATCCAATCCTTGGTTTAACCCATATTTTGTTTTGTTTGTTTGAACTGTTGGGTGAGGAAGAAATGAGGGATTCTTCTTTCAGTTAATGTAAAACCAGTCTTTGCTTAGAATCCACTCCCAAAGACAATCTAACCTCCAAGAAGCCAAAAATATTTCTATAGTTACAATTATTATTGCTTAAACTACTACTAATCAAGTATTTTAAAAAGAAATTAAAAAAAGAACAGTGAATGATTGGTATTAGTAGCAATTATATTTAAGTTAAGAAGAAAAGGATAATAGTAATAGTAACAATGAAATTACTTGAGAAAGATGCAAAAGCTGAGTTGCAAGCCCAAATCCCAAGTTTTACGCCATACATTGCTCTGAGAGAGATGGATATGGAAAGGCAGACGTCGACATTAGACCCTCCCATTACCCCTTTTCACATTCACATTTATGCTAATTTAAAAAAATAAAAGATTCATATATATAAAAATATTTTTTTTATTACTATTTATAAGTAACAGCTATGACCCTAAGACCCACCCGCATCAAAATTATCACATGGAATTTCAAAACTGGAAAATTTTCCATCTCTAAACAAACTATCATTCAGTTACTAAATAAAAAATTATTCCAAATAAAAATAAGGTAGATAAGAATTAAATTCTTTTTTTTTTCCTAATTGTATGCAAAAAAAATAAAAAAATAAAAGACGAAATAAATAAGTCAAGAAAAAAGAGTTGGTGGCTGGGGCTTGAGTGCAGAGAATAAACACAAACAAGATGAGCAGAGGTGGGAGGAATGTCAGTAGAAGTGTAGGGAATGGCAGCGACGTGCACATTTTTCAAATGGGATTTTATTTACTCTTTTTTTCTTCTTTTGTTTTAAATAAATTTGTTTCTTTTTTAATACTGTTAAATATTAATGATGATTGTTAAATGACAACGATTCAACATGAATGATTGAAAATTAGCAGTACTAGTATTTTAGATCTTTGGCCTGTCTTTTTCAAATGTGTTCGGTGTTATTCGCGTTCATTGATGCGGATTGATGATATCACTGTAAACGAACAGTTGACAATTAAATTTTTATTAGTAATGGCATCCTAAATTTTTTTTTCTTTTATTTTTTTTTAACCATCGGAGACCCTAATTTAGGTAAGCATGTGACAAAAAGGGTTTTGAAAGAGAGGATCTTCTGCATTATTTAAAGCACAGTAAACATTTTTATTATTTTATTCAAACGTAAGTAATGCAATTTCAATTAAATTTGGAATTAATATTTATTTAAATTATTTTTATTTTAATTAACTTTTATTTTTTATATTTAATTTAAAATTAATAAAATTTCAGTCATATATTTAAATGAAAATGCACTATTAACTCTTCATTACTTAAAAAAGTAATGAAAACTTTCATTACTTAAAAAAGTAATAGAGGAGAATTTTTTCGAATTTAAATTTTATCATTTCAAGTTTAAATTATTTTGAATTCAAGTTGTTTTAGATTTAAATCATATGGAGAAAAAGATTCAAACTCAAATAATTTCAATAGAGCTCTTGTAGGTTTGAATTTTTTTGCTTTTAACTAATTTCAAATCATTTTTCTTTGTTTATTTTTTTATGTCCTAAAAAATTTTTTATTCATTTTTCAAACCGTTAATATTCTTTTATTATTGAGAAATTCTTTTATGTCCGAACATTCTTTTAATTTATCCAAAAAAATCTTTTATATTTTTCAAGTATCGAATATGTTTTCCTTCACCTTAAAAGCACTTTATGAGTTCTTTATATTCTTATAAATTTATTTTTCATGATTTTTTATTTTTACATTAATAGTTTGGAACATCATTTTTGGAAAAAAAAATTAAAATGTTTTGATACATAATAAACCAAAGTCAAAGCTTTTATTTTTTTTAATTTCCATGTAATAAAAAAAGGGCATATAAGAATCTTAAGCGTAACGGAGTTGGTTCACTTAAAAACGCTTGCAAGGTAATATTCAACATCACTGAAATTCATATCACAATATTTACAATCTCTTCCTCTACTCTCAAGTCCTAACCTCTTTTGGAAAGAAAAAAAAAAAGCATACAAAAGGGTGCAAAAAGACTATTATGTTTCATAATAATTAACAAACATATGAATATAAAATCTTTCATGCAATTTTTAAATAATAAAAATGTCATTATAAAAAAATTAAGTTCATAAAAAAAGTAAAAAATTAAGATGCAAATAATGAAGGAAAATATCAATGTAAAGATATCTTTTATAATTGTTGTGATGAGTTTTGATATTTTAAAAACCATTATATAATTATTCTATTATAAATATTATCAAATGCAATATACTTAAGTCACTAATCATTTATCAAACAATTTCTTGTTTAATTAAAAAAATAAAATCTTCTTTATTTTCATCATTGAAAAAGTTTTTTCTCTGTAGACTTTCCATCTCAATTGGCCAAAACAATACAAGTTTTAGTAGAAAGAAATAGTAATAATCTGTAGAAAAAAGTAGATAAATAATGTCTTTCTTTGTATTCATTGATTTTTTTGAAGAATAAAATCAAATATGTGATCCTACTTTTTATTAATTATATATCGACCTCTAAATTTTATAATATTATATTTATACTGTAAATTTCTTTTTTTAATGGAATCATTTAAAATTTACCTTATATTAATACATATTATTAAAACACCTTAAATTTCAGTGGGATCATGTGACCTCATTTAGTGTAGCTATGTTCTTATAGGTTTAAATTTTACTATTTGTGAATTTCATTCAATTTTATATTAGATTTATCTAGTTATTGATTGGCTTATTTGTTTGATTATTCTATGATTTCTTATATATGGATGTAATACTTGATTTTGTAACTTGTATTTGTAATTTCATCAATATAAATTTTGAGATTGAATCACTTCAAATTTAGATTATTTTGAGATTAATTCATTTCAAGTTTGAATTATTTTGAATTTAGATAATTTTGAACATAGGTTTTTGTAGGATTAAGTTTTGACTTTTTTATCAATTCGAGTTTGGATTGATTCAAATTGCAAGTGTTTTCGAGTAGGTTTTCATGTGCGCTACTTATCCCTTTACATCCAACTTGATGAGTTGAATTTTAATATTTGCATCCAACTTAAACATGACAGCCAAAATACATAAAACTCTTCTTTCTTAATTTCAAATTTATTTTTCTTATAGTTTTTTCTTTCAACTTTAAAAATCATGAAATATCAATTTTTAAAAAAAAAGTTAAAACTTTAAGATAAAATGCACTAAAATAAAAATCTTCTTATTAAACTCTTCGAAGATCAAAGAATTACATGTAAAGTAAAATAGAGTGAGTATTTATTACATGTTAAGCTATTAGTAATAAGTTATAGTTTCATTCATTTATGTTAATATAACAATTTTGAGTATGTGCATTATCTTAATTTACTAAATATAATTGATGTGATAAGAAAAAGTTTATATAGTAGTGTTAATATAATTCACATATATCCATTTTTTAACATATGCACGAGTATAAGACACATATACATACTACTTTGCTTTTATATGGACATATTTTAGCTATTTATACATAGAGAATTCCAATATTTCTTTTCTTTTTCTTTTACAAGTGGTGAATTTTATATTTGGCATCAACTATTCTTAAACCCTCAATGACAAATTAATTTTGAGTCTCAACATATCTACATCATATAGAGTGATATTAAAAATGTGTAATGTGCACAACATAAATGCTGTTGATATAGTTGTTGATATGTTTTTTTGAATAGATCCTCACTTGGTATGGAGAATCAAACTTAATAGATGAATTTTTTATGGCTTGTTTTAGGAGTAATTTTTTAATATTTATTTATCCCCCTCAATTCTAGGAATGTAATAAGAGTAGTTAAATATCTAACTTAAGAGATACAAGGAAAATCTTATTAGAATTCACTTTGCACTAGTGAGATTCTAGTTACAAAACACCTTTAGAAAGGATCGACAATATTAGCCTTAGGCTAAGGTTTTTTGCAGCAAACCAAGTCTACGTGACTTTTTTCTAATTTGAAGATATAAATTTTGTAAATTAAATGTGTTCTACACTTCTATTTTATAAAGATTTAATTCAAGTTACATATCTTTTTAATTCGTGTTGTTTAATCTAACAATCATATTACTTTATTAGGAACACACCCTTATATATAATTACAAACAATTATTCAACTGAATAATTATTTTGTCAAAGATTGTGAGTTATTTGAAATGAAATAAAATGTTTTATTTTTTAAAGATATAACTGTTAGCGTAGGATAGTGGATTCCTTTATAAGGTAGTTGACTTCTCTTTAAATTCTAAAATGCTAATCACAGTAGGACAATCGACTTCACTTTTAGGCAATCAACTTTCTTGAATTGTAGAATGCTATTAACTTTAAAGAAATGGACTATTTTCAAAACAATCAACTTTTATGAAAATACACAATGTTTCAGTCATGAAAACAATCAATTCCAGCTTATAACAGTTGATTGCCTTTAGGTTAAGCAGTCAATTGGCTTGATTTTCAATCACAGCAGTCGACTGCCCTAGGGTTAGGAATCAATTGCTTTTTTGTAATTTTAAAACCAAAATGTATCGAGACATTGGTACATATTTGAAGTGCATGGTAGTTGACTGTTTTAGCATTAATAGTCAACTACTCTTTATGGCTAGCTTATAACAATTAATTCCACTAAGCATAACAATGGACTACTATTTATACAAGTCTTCTTTCTTAAGTTTTTTGTATCATGAAACTTTACTTAAACTATTTTATATCTTGTTTAAGTTATTCTTTCACTTGATTTTTCACTTATTTTGAAAATAATTCTAACAATCCCACACCATTTTCAAAATAACGTAAAGTTAAATATTTTAAAAATATTCTACATAAAAGTAGGTATCAATCTTGATTTAAAACCATCCCTTTAGTGATATGATTGTTGAGCTTAATTAGACTGCATGGTAGAACTATGTCTTTGAACCAATAATTCTATATGACCAGTCATGCACTATATCACAAATAAGCTTTCATGCTTCAACAAAAGTAGTTTAGCAATGCTTGACACATTTATAGCCATGTGTCTTATATATTTTTCATAAGTGCTTTAGAACCAAACTCTTAGTTCTCAAAAGTGGCACTATTTTCCATTTATGTAAGTGAACTCTATAAAAAAATGCCATTATATAATGCATTTCAACTATTTATTTACAATTTATGGTTCCATTAAAAGATTTATTTATCCTTTCCTTTAATCATACGGTTCGAAGTACTTGCCTTCCTTAAGGTGGTAGATGGTAGTTTTAATTTAAATATTTGCAATCATATTCAAATAATGTATTTTGACTCATTAAAACTCAAGACTTAATGTTTGATCAAGTGTTGAGTTAAAGTTTTATCATATGTGACTTTAGTGTAAACACCCCATTTTATCCGAGAATTTTTTGAAGATTAATTAGGTTTTGAATTTTATTTTGATATTAAGATTTGAAATTATTCGATTGGGCTTTAATTACATAACTGGTTGTTTAGCCCAAAATTGAATACCCAAAAGTGATTTTTTTTTATTTCATTTTATTTGTTTTTATTTTTGTTTTTATTTCCCTATTTTTAATAATAATAAAAAAAGAAACATAAAAAGTTGAGAT